AATGGCCATCAGCACCACCCAGCTGCCACCAGAAGTGAAGTTCTGGCCACATGGCAATCTGGCTGATCCCAGAGGACGCTGATGGGTGAAATAAGCCAGACCCCAAAAGACAAAGGATTCTTGAACTTTATCTAGAAAAAAAGTGCACTTGCCTTCCTATGCTACCAGCCCATTCCCTCTCTCCAGTCCTGGGCAGTCCTCAGTCTGCTTCCTGTGTCTAGGAATTTGACTACACAAGGTCCCTCCTACAAAGACCAGCACAAAACCAAAAAACAGAAAAAAAAGAAGTTTGAGAGATCTGTGGCAGTTATGGCTGTCCACTGAACTATACACTGAAAAATAGATATTAGCTCAGTGATGATTTTTCTTTTTTGAGATAGGCTCTCAACCCAGGCTGGCCTTGAACTCTTAAATTTTCCTGTCTCCGCTTTCTAAGTGCTAGGAATACAAGAGTGTACCACCATGTTTAGTAAGATGACAATTTGTGTTTGTGTATGTGCGCAGACATGTGTCTGTCTGTCTGTGCACATGCCAGTACTGGGGCTTGAACCAAGAGCCTGAGTATTGTCCGTTAGCTTTTTTGCTAAAGGCTGGCATTCTTATACTGGAAGCAAAGCTCTACTTCTGGCATTTTGGTGGTTAATTGGAGGTAAGAGTGGCACAGACTTTTCCTACCTGGGCTGGCTTTGAAAAATGATCCTCAGATTGCCAAGTACCTAAGATTATAGGCACAAACTACCAGAGCCCATTTTAAAATGGCAATTCTTATGTCAAGTATAACTTAGTGCAATCGTTGTAAAAAAAAAATAATTGGGAAAGTTAGCACTTTCTAAATGGTTTGCGTTACCCTTCACAATGGAGGCGAATGCTGCAGGATTCCAGGCCATCTCTGCTCAGCCCCTGAGGGCCCACCTCACCCTGAGCCGGGATCAGCCTCCCAGCCTCGCCTGGGCCTCCCTCTCCAATCAGACCCTGCTGCTCCAGGCCTGCAGAAAGGTGGAAATAGAGTGCACTCCACAGACATAGAGCAGTGTGGATGTGTTCAGAGCCTGTGCTGCTGTGCTTCTCTCGTTCCTCTTCCCTGGCATGCCTCCAGCCCATCATTAGGCAGATTCTCCAAGGAGAGAGAGTACTTCCTGCCCAAATGACAAGCTGTGGCTTACGCAGATATCTTTCCAGATGTGGCATTTGTCTCCCTGGCAATACTGCAGGTGGCTCTAGGTTTGCTTGGCTGGGACGCTCATCCTCACAAATATGTCCTTCCGTTGCACCTGCGAGTGCCCACAGCTTCCCGCGGCAAGCTGCTTCTTCTCCCAGTGGCAAGGTCCTGCTCTGTGGGGAAGGGGAAAGGAAAGGGGGTGCTCAGAACCCAGCGAGGGAAGAAGTGGGGGTGCTCAGCTCTCATCCCTGGAGAGCATCTGACCTCAAGGCCAAGGCGGAGGCCACTGTCACCTCTCCAGGATCTCCAGGATTAATCCTCAATAAATGGCTGCTGAGCCAGGTGCTGGTGGCTCACCCCTGTAATCCTAACTACTCAGGAGGCTGAGATCTGAAGATCTCGATTCTAAGCCAGCTTGGGCAGGAAAATCTGTGAGACTCTTACCTCCAATAGAGCTCAAGTGGTAGAGTGATAGTCTTGAATAAAAGTCAGACCCCCTAAGTTTGAGTTCTAGTACTGGCACATGCATGTTTTCTCTCTCTCTCTCTCTCTCTCTCTCTCTCTCTCTCTCACACACACACACACACACACACACACACAGATGGCCATTGAATGAATTTAATCGTTGATCAATGAAAGGGTCCAGAACTGCTATGGATGTTACATAGTGGTGTGTGTTCAAAATGTACCCTTTGCAACTCCAAACAAGCAAGTGATTCTCAAGTGCCAACAACCACTCTTCAGATGTGTGCTCTGGAAAGTTTGTGAATGTGAGTGGAGACCTACACTCAAGGTAACACTCTGGTCCAAGCCTTATAGACCATGCTACCCTTCAGAAAGCACGCTTATATGTATTGGTGAACACGCTAGAAAACTGCCACATACACAGATCTCAATGACTGATGCTTTGACAATGTAAAAATCCACACTGGTGAAGGATCAGCTTGTCAAGACTGTCTATTTTACATAAGAGAGACACCGGCCTATTTTAAATTCAAGAATATTTTGTTTTGGTTTTGTTTTTTGTCGGTCATAGGCTTGAACTCATGGCCTGGGCACTGTCCCTGAGCTTATTTTTGCTCGTAGTTAGCACCCTATCACTTTGAGCCACAGCGCCACTTCCAGTTTTCTGGTGGTTAATTGGAGATAAGAGTCTCATGGACTTTCCTGCACAGGCTGGCTTCAAACCATGATCCTCAGATCTCAGCCTCCTGAGGAGCTAGGATTACAGGCGTAAGCCACCAGCGCCCAGCAAATGTGTTGTTTTTAATGAGAGTCGATGTCCATCAACAAATGAATGATGTTATTTCTGTGTAGTAGTGGAATATAACTTGGTAAGTAAAATAGGGTGGAATATTGATACATGCTGTAATGCAGCGGAACCTGGAAAACATGATACTTGGCAAAAAGTCACAATCCAAAAGCTCACAACTACTGTCGTCCTTCATCGTCATCATCGTCTTCCTCCTCCTCCTCCTCCTCTTCTTCTTCTGCTTCCTTCTCCTCCTCTTTTTTTCTTCTCACCCTCCTCCTCCTTCTCTTTATCCTCTTCCCCCTCTCTCCTCCTTGTATTTCTAGGACCTAAGTTGGCTCCTGGGACATAAAAGGTACTAAATGATTAAATAACAACCAGTAAGTGAGCTTCCCATAAGATGGGCAGGTGGAGGGTCATCTGGGCCAGTCTAGCGCATCTCACACTTGGATACTTGGGAGCTGGTTAGATCTGAGGCAAGGGTTGAGAGTTTGCATTTCTAGAAGAAGTCAGGAGGCTCACGTCACGTGTCTACCAGCCACGCTTGGAGGACGAGGCACCCGACCCCAACCCCTGCTTTAAGATAAAAAGCAGGCCAGGTACCAATGGCTCACGCCTATAATCCTAGCTGCTCAGGAGGTTCAGATCTAAGGACTGCAGTTGAAAGCCAGCCTAGACCAAGAAACACATGGGACTTATCTCCAATTAACCACAAACAGCTGGAAATGGGCTCAAGTGACAGAGCACTGGCCTTGAGGGAGAAAGTTCAGGAAGAACACCCAAGCCCTGAGTTCAAGTCCGAGGAAAAAAATATCCCTGCAGTTTTGTGTATTTGAGTGTTTGAACCCCAGCTGTGTGTGGCTCCCCATGTCCCTGCTCTCCCTTCCTCACAGAGGCAGCTCCAGTGCATCCTTGCTGGCACTCAGAGGAAAATGATTAAGGTAATTGGCAACTTTTCCCCGTGATTCTGAGGCAGGCTGACATTTCAAGGAAAACAAGTCCACGCCAATCGGCAACACTCACTTTTCAATGTTTTCCAGTGTGTGCTGGGAGGAGGGAGATGGGGAGTCTGTGCACACACCCCCAATAAAAAGACGCTCAGGCTGCTGTTCTCCCTTTGTGTTCTGAGCATGTAAACTCAGCTCGAATCACAGCTAATAAATAGGTCATCTTGTAGTTTCAAAATAAAAACACGTTATATTTCAGTGGAATCGTAGCTGTACATAAAAAGCTGTCAACTTCCTTCCCCGAACCTCGCACTGTGGAAAGATACCTTGTCACTCAAGCTGAGCGCAGTTTTAACTGAAATATCTCCTTGTCTGCGTAAATAATGAGCAGAATTGCGTGAAAATATCTGGCCCACAGCCCCGGCTCCCGAGAAATGCTATGCAAATGACACCCATGTGGGGTCTGTCTTCTGACAATTCACTTTGAAAACAGAGGTAGGGGTGGGCACCCAGCCAACCCTGGCATCGTGTCCTTTGGATGCAGAGAGGAAGGGGGAAGGAGCCAGGAGAGCCAGCCCTGGTGATGGAAATGGTATGGTTCTGTTGTTGTTCCTTTTGGTCTGGTACTGATGCTTGAGTGTTGTCCCTTAGCTCTTTTTTTTTAATCAAGGCTGGCACTCTTGAGCCACAATTCTACTTCCAGATTTTTGGTGGTTAATTGGAGATAAGAGCCTCACAGACTTTCCTGCCCAGGTTGGCTCTGAACCATGATCCTCAGATCTCAGCCTCCTGAGTAGCTAGGTATGAGCATCTGGCCAGAAATGGTGATTTTTCTCAAGCAAGCCTTTTAGTTCCACGACTGTCATACAGTTAGGGCTATACAAGTTGCGTCAGAAAGTGCCACATATGGGGTATATTTACGAAAGAATGCTAAGTCTCCATGGCATTATGGAGAAGAGAGCCCACAGATCCTCAGGGTCAAGACCCAGGCTCTAGCCCCACTCTGCCATCTTCAGATGGTAAGCTTTTTGGGTGTTTTTGGAGCTGGGGCTGGAACCCTGGGTGTCCCCCCATCCAAGGCAAGCGCCCTACCACTAAGTGACACCCCTAGCTCTTCCTCAGCGATGAGATCTTCCTCGCCTCTCTGCATCTCTGCTTCCCCCTTCTCTAATGACAGTAGTCAAGTGTGCAGGGAATCTTCACATGTGAGTTAGGTGGGCACCAGGCCTCAGTAGCTGGCTGATGACATGGGACAAGTTATTGAACAAGTGAACAAGTAGATGGGTGGGAGGGGATCTGGGTTCTATCATTCCCAAGCTGTGTGACTTCGACCAGTTTCTAAGCCTCTCTGAGTCTTGGTTTCCCTAACTGTGAGTTGGGGACAACAGTTGGAACTACTCTTGTAGGGCTATTGGAAGAATACAAGCAGGGGATGCAGGTAAAACTCTTGTCTGACACACACAAAGGGCCCAGCCAACGTGAACTCCTTCTTGCTGCTCCTGCCACTGCTTAGGATGATGGTGGCATTGATGAAGAGGATGCTATTGGCGCTGGAATCTGACATTGATGATGATGTCTCACAGTGAGCATTAATTCTAGTGATGTATTGGATGATGATGATGATATCGATGGTGCTGGAGACGGGGATACTGACACTGATGACAGGAACGATGATGTTATATTGATGCAATTAACTCTAGCAACATGCTATCGATGATGGTGTGTTGGTGATGTTGATATTGATGATGATGGTAATGGTGATTTGATAATGTGGATGATGACAGTGATGTATTGATATTAACAATGATGATAATGATGATGATAGGTTTATTTTTGTTGGTCCTGGGGCTTGAACTCAGGACCTGGGCACTGTCCTTGAGTTCTTTTGCTCAAAGCTAGTGCTCTACCACTTCAAGCTACAGCTTCACTACTGATTTTTGAATGGTTAAATGGAGAAAAGAGACTCACAGAGACTTTTGTACCAGGGCTGGCTTTGAACCATGATCTTCAGATCTCAGCCTCCTGAGTATCTAGGATCACATGCGTGAGCCACCATTGACGACATTTTGATGATATTCATACTAATGGTGATGATAATGTTATTGACGTTGATGATGATGATGGTGATTGTGACATTACTCATTTCTCCCTGAGTCATGATCTAAAAAGCTATACCATAAGGTTAAAGAATAAAGGAGATATAATTCAGGACGTATAGATTAGAAGCCGGGCATGGGTACCTCATATCTGTAATCCTAACTACTTAGGTGGCTGATATCTGAGGATCATGGTTTGAAGCCTGCCTGGGTAGACAAATCTGAAAGACTCTAATCTCCAATTAACTAGAAAAATAAAGCTGGAAGCAGAGCTGTAGCTCAAGTGGTAGAGCACTAGCACTGACAACAAAAGCTCAGGGTCAGTACCCAGGCCCTGAGGACCAGCACGCGCACGCACGCGCGCACACACACACACACACACACACACACACACACACACACACACACACACACACACACACACACACACACACACACACACACAGAACTGGAGGAGTACTCAAGTGGCAGAATGCCAGCCTTGAATAAAAAAGCCATGTGAGAATCCAAGTCCCTGAATTCAAGCCCTAGTACTGACATAATAAACACACAGGTACCTAGAATTCTTACAACTATTATTATTGACAACCAGAGATAAAATTTCAGGCCACTAGCAATATGCCTACTAGTGGTTCATTCTTTGCAAAGCAAGGAAGAGGCTTCTAATAAATTTTTGGTAACACCTCTCTTTCTCTCTTCCTCCCCCCCCCCCCCCAGAATGAAAGCTATACCACTAAATAAGTAAGTAAATAAATAAATAAACAAGTGGGCCGTGTGGTGGTGACATTTTCATTAGCCCTCTCTCTCTTTCCGTCTCATTAGCCTTCCTGGGGAGAGAAAGGATCATATAATCAGCAGGGTTGAAAAGTCTGGCTGGGCTGCCTCCCCTCCTGCTGTTGAGGAGAGGATTACCCTTCAGTTTATAAAGACAATTCTCAGCCCCCAGAGCCCACCAGGCCTAGCCAGCCACCCGGCCAGCTCCTAGGCTGGAGGAGATCCGTCCAAGAGAAAGGGATCCGCCCAGCCCGGGTTCAGCATCTCTGAACAATGTTCTTCTTTTGCTAAGCATTCAAGTGTAATTCAAGCGTAATATTGGGTTTTATCAGAGAGCTCAATATCATGTTACGGCAAAGTCCTCTCTAGTCTATCTGGGATAGACTTTTTTTTTGTGCTCCAGGCTGGTGAGGCAAGCCAGGTATCTGACAGAGTGACCATGCAGAATGAAGCGATGATTTCTTCATTGAGACCCAAAGCCTGGCCAGAACCAAACCAAACAGGTTCCTGCACACACTTCCGCTGCTCTTAGACTAGGAGGGGCTCGGCGACACATGCGCCATTGATATGAGTTGAGTTTCAATTACACAAACGTGTAGGTGCAGATATTTGGCCTCTTAATGTGGCCCAATGGCAACTTCTCAGTTTCACCTACCTGTGCACATAGGCGTGCTGCGCTGCCTACCTTCACTGAGAAAACCCTGCCTTTAAATCTTAAAAAAACAGGGTCTTCAGTTTGAATTGAAAAATAAATCTAGCCATTCATAGGAATGCCAAAGCAAGCATTTACTGGGAAACAGTCTCCCTGGTGCTCATTAAGCTGATTATTTATCTATTTGTTGGACAAACATGTATTGAGAAACTACTTTGAGCCAAGCACTGCAGATAAAAAGATGAAGGCGCCCACAGACCAGACATTCCAAAGTAATAGAAATGACAGAAATACACATCGGATATTTTAGAGGCCGAGGTGGGGGGCACAAGCAACTTCTCAGAGCAGAAGTAGGGTCTGGAAAGAGTCCAGAGGAGGGATGTGAGGACTGGCATGTAAAGGATGAGTGGGGAATGGCCCAGCGACCAGCAGGACACAGTGGAGGGCAGAGAGGCTGGACCAGGCCATGGGAGCAGTGGTCTCACAGGTGGGCGGCAGATGCCCCTCTTCCTGGAAGGGACAGGACAAGGCCCATACAGCACATTCGCACACAGTGGTGAGAAGAAAGGCCACACAAGGCTGTAGTTTCTACAAGCCCAGGCAGCTAACAAAAGAATGTAGTCAGCCCTCCATATTCACCACCAAATGAAAGTGGCAGGGGGCCTGGGGGGTATTGTGTCTATATGGAATATGGACATTTTTTCTGCTCATTGTTTCCAAATGATAACAATTATTCAGCATTTATACTGCATTATTATAATTAATTCAGAGGTTTTTTTTGTTTTGTTTTGTCTTGTCGGTTGTAGGGCTTGAACTTCGGGCTTAGACGCTATCCCTCAGCTCTTCAGCTCAAAACAAGCACTCTACCTCTTGAGTCACAGCGCCACTTCCGGTTTTCTAGTGGTTTATTGGAGATAAAAGTCTCACGGACTTTCCTGCCCAGGCTAGTTTTGAACCATGATCCTCAGATCTCAGCCTCCTGAGTAGCCACTGGTGCCTAGCTCAGAGATGTTTTAAGGTATGTAGGAGGGCATGTATAAATCACATGCAAAACTATTTCAAAACTGGGGCTGGGAAGGTGGCTCAGTGGTAGAGCACTTGCCTTGCATGCCTGAGGCCCTGGGTTCGATTCCTCAGCACCACATAAGCAAAAAGAAAAAAGCTGGAAGTGGCACTGTGGCTCAAGTGGTAGAGCGCTAGCCTTGAGCTGGAGAGCTGAGGGACAGCGCCCAGGCTCAGAGTTCAGGCCCCACGGCCAGACCCCAAAAAAAAACAAAACTATTCCAAAACTATGTTGGTGGCTCATGCCTGTAATCCTAACTACCCAGAAGGCTGATGATCATGTTTGAAGCCAGCCTGGGCAGGAAAGTCTGAGAGACTCTTATTTCTAATTAACCACAAAAAAGCTGGAAGTAGAGATATATTCAAATGAAAAAGCACTAGCCTTGAGCAAAAATACTCAGGAACAGTGCTCAGGCCCTGAGTTCAAGTCCCAGGACTGGCACAGACACATATAAAGACCATTATGCCACATTATAAACTGGACTTTGAATCCAGGGCTTGGGCACTGTCTCTACCACTTGAACCATACCTCCACTTCCAGCTTTTGGGCGGTTAGCTGGAGATAAGAGTCTCATGGACTTTCCTGTCTATGCCGGCTTTGAACTGCAATCCTCAGATTTCAACCTCCTATATAGCTGGGATTACAGGAATGAGCCATTAGCAAGAATACCCACTTTTTTTAGTGGCTTTTCAGTTGAATAATTTGGATTAACAGATCTTCAATTTCTCTGACTCTTCTCTTACCTAGAATCTGCTATTGAATGAACCATTAAGTGATTTTTTTTATTACAGATATTGTATTTTCACTTCTAGAATTTTCATTTCAGGTTTATTGGTTCTTTTGCCTATCTTTTCATTCATTGTGAACATCCTGTCTTTTACATTTTGAGCATGGTTATAAAGTCCCTTTAAATTCTTGATTGTTGGGCTATTGTTTTTTTGTTGTTGTTGTTGTTGTTTTTTTGCTGGTCATGGGGCCTGAACTCTGGGCCTGGGTGCTGTCCCTCAGTTCTTCAGCTCAAGGTTAGTGCTTTACCACTTGAGCCACTGTGCCACTTCCGGCTTTTTCTGCTTATGTGGTGCTGAACAATCGAACCCAGGGCCTCATGCATGCAGGGCAAGCACTCTACCACTGAGCCACTTTCCCAGACCCTATTGTTAGTCAGTCCTGGGCTTGAACTCAGGGCCAGAACACCCTGAGCTTCTTTTTGCTCAAGGCTAGCGTCTATCACATGAGCCACTGGTCTACTTCCTGATTTTTTTTTTTTTTTAATAGTTTGATAGAGATAGGAATCTCACAAACTTTCCTGCTCAAGCTGGCTTCAAAATGTGATTCTGAGATCTCAGCCTCCTGACTAGCTAGGATTATAGGCATGAGCCACTGGCACCCAGCTGAAACTGGATATTTTAAGCCCTAGACTCATACATCTGGGTTTCCTAGGTCAGGTCCAGTCACTTGCCCAACACTACAAGTAAAAAGTCAAATTATAAGGAAGGGCAGAAAAGGAAGTTTACTAGGCAACTCGAGGAATATAAGGAAGATGAACTTCAGTTCATCTTCTGGGTACAGACATGAGCTATAGAGTTTAAATAGACAAAGAACTAGGGCAGGGGAAGAGAGGTTTGCATAATTATTAAATGGTTCCAGTCATGGGTGTGTTCAGGGGGCGGAGGAGGCTGAGAGCAAACACAGGTGCTCTGGTAGCTCACTGTCTCAGAACAGGCCTTGTTACAGTAAGAATTTCCAATGCCTGGCAGGTGGCAAGGGTCTTCCTAGAGTCTAAGATGGCTGAAAAGTGACTGCAGGAGAGCCTGGCTCAGAGAAATGGACAGAGGTAGCAAGTGGAGGCTGGGAGGCCAAGCTTTCCTGCCCTCAGATAATTCACGGGCCCAAGGAAGGACTCAGTATCCCTTAGCAAGAGCAACTGTGTTAAGCACCTTGATGCATGGCTCATTGGTTGAGTACTTGCCTATCACGCATGAGGCCCTTGGTTTTGGTCTCCAACACTATGGAAATAAATAAATAAAATCCAATTATTGACTGCTAGTTCCAAATCTGTGTGATTTATAAAGCTTGTCTCAATTACGGATCTTTTCACTCCTGAATGAATCCTGTTTTCATATTTCTTTGTGTCTATGTCAAGCAGTATTAAAGTGCTAATTATCTCTAATATTGGAAAGTCTAGATTCCATTATATATTGCCAAGATTTTTGCAGTCTAGATGCTATCCTATAGGTAATGGATGAGTCATAAAGAAACTGGATTTGTATGGTAGCTTGTCAAGAACAAAAATAGGACCACAGGGCAAGTACCCCTGGTTTACTGCAGTGCCTCTCATTGCCTCTCACTAAAGAAACTCTCATTAATGCATTGATTCATCCATTTTCTTTTTCTTTTTCTTTTTTTTTTTTTTTTGTGTCCAGTCTTTGTGGGGCCTGAACTCTGGGCCTGGGTGCTGTCCCTCAGCTCTTCAGCTCAAGGCTAGTGCTCTACCACTTGAGCCACAACGCCACTTCTGGCTTTTTTTCCCTGCTTATGTGGTGCTGAGGAATCGAACCCAGGGCCTCAAGCATGCAAGGCAAGCGCTCTACCACTGAGCCAGCTTCCCAGCCCCATTCATCCATTTTCTTATATATCCACTCAGTCTTTTATGTGGCAAACAGGCCAAGAATTTGAAATAATGAAGTAAAAAAGCCATGTGTGGTGGGGCACACCTGTAATCCCAGCTACTTGGGAGGTGGAAATAGGAGGATCACATTCCAAGGCTTGCCCAGGCAAAAGTGCAACAACCTATCTGAAAATCCATTTAAATGCAGAAAAGGGGAGCTAGGAGCTTATGTTATAGAGTCTTTGCCTAGCAAGTACCAGGTCCTGAGTGACTTCTGGTAGTGGGAAACAGTTTCAACAATGCCAGCAGTGTGCAAAATGACAGTGGCATATAGAAAGGACTGGGACAGGAGAAAGCACTTTCAGGAGAAAACTTCTTGAAGATGTAAAGCGTATGTAGGAACCTGCCAGGTGCACAGGGCATGTGGAGTAGAGACAGGAAACCATGTGGGTGGGGCATGGACGCTATAGAGGGGAGACAGAATAAAAGAGTGGTCCTGGCGGGAATGCAGAAATAGCAAACCGTCAGATATTTGCCACAAGCCTGACACTTACTAGCAACAAATCCCCAAAAGCAAACTATGACTTCCACCCAGGCATTACCCCTCCCACCTCTATCCACAGATACACGAGTCCTTGTGATTGACCTCCGTGTCTCCACCTCCCCAGCCTCCTCAAGGGCCTGGGCTCACCTGGGTGAGTGGGTCTTCCTGAGGCCATGCTGTAGCCCCCAATCTGATCTCCACCCAAACCAATCTGATCTCTAACCAACAGCTTGAGTCCTCACTCCCTGCGTAAAGGTCTTGACTGGGTCTTCACTGTTCTGGGCTAAAGATCAAACTCTTTAAGGGGCCTACAACCAGTTCCCACACGGTCCAGTCCCAGGAAACCCAAATCTCTTACCCACACACCCACCTTTCTCTTCTAGTCCCTGCCCCAACAGCCTCCAGTTCCCATAGTCCCTGTACTTTCATTCTCGGTCCACCCAGAGCTATTCCAAGGGCCCTGAAGGCCCTTCTCCTTCCCTGCTAATTTAAATCTCAGCCCAATGTTGGCTTCCTCCAAGAGATCTTCCTTCCCCTCCCAACTAGGGGAAGACTTCTAGTTAGACGGACATAAACTTCTTCACTTATATCACAGCCACAACCTTACCTTGACTTGTGATTCTCTGATGAATGTTTATCTGCAATTAGACACTAAGCTTCCATAAAGGCAATGACCAGGTTGACTTTTGCTCACCATGTCTTTCTAATGCCTAATCTAGTGCCTGGCCCACACTATGGATATTTCTTAAAGTAGCTTTCTACTAGGCAGTGAATGAATGCTGACTGGCTGGCTGGCTGGGTGCATGCATAGATAGATGAGACATGGATTCATGGCTGCATACATATATGCATCATGAATGGATGGAAGTATGGAAGAATGGATGTATGCATGGATGCCTGGGTGGATGGACAGGTGGATGTATGCATGGATGCATAGATGGATAACAAATATCCCTGTGGGAAAATAAAAGAAGTATTTTAGAGTCTGCCCTCAAAGAATATCTTACAGATGGTTAGTGACCCAAGCTAGTTATACTTAAGGGTTAAAGACCACTGAAATTGCCATTGGTGACACCAACCTGGAAGTGAAGGTTTATGTTTACTTCTCATGTACTGGAAAGGAGACCATAGAGCTCAAATGCTGTCTCCACAGCACCCTCAAGGTGGGCTTCAGCTTCAGCACTAGGGGTACTGCTGCCTCTAATGAGGACCCGTTATCTTTACCTCAACTCATGGAGCAGAAACAGGCCCCGAGCCCAGCGAGTCACACCTACGTGGGACAAGAAGGGGCCAGTGCTTATGTTAGCTGCTAATCAAGGAAAGCCCCTTTAGAGGAAAACTTCTATATGAATGCACTTGCCAAATGTCCTTTCCTTTATTTTTAGCTACAATTTTAGGAGATAAGCTGAGCACGCCCAGAGGCACTCCTGCCTGTCATCTTAGCCATGGCCTTGAGCTAAGCGTGCTCCCAAAATGTGCCTTCCATCTTGCCTTCTCAAAGTATGACCTGAAAGTGAGCATACTCAGGAATGTGCCCCTGCCCCCCCAGTGAATATGCATATAAATAAAATCCCCAGGCTTCCTCTGTCTCAGGAGGGCTTTGCTTAGGAGGTAATTCGTCTGCTCTCTTTACCTGAGTAGGTAATAAGTCCTTCTCCATTCTCTTACATCTTGGCTGTGCTTGCTTTGGCTCTGTACTCAAAAGAATGCAAAACCATTGCCTTGGTTACAGCTGGAGGTGGTATGTGACTCTGTGTGTGTGTGTGTGTGTGTGTGTGTGTGTGTGTGTGTGTGTGTTTCCATATTAGACATCGACAAACCAACACCACCACAGCTTGTGTACAGAAGATGTCCCAGCATGGGAATAAGGGAGCCCAAAATTCTGAGGACCTCAGGACCAGACATGCCTGAGTCTCAACGCCCAGAACTACAGCTGGCAAGAGAATAGCCTCGCTTCTGCACCTGCACAGCAGTGTTGAGAAGGAACCTCTCGGCTTCTCTTCGGTGCTCAGCGACTGAGGGTCAAGGAGCCCATGGAGGTGTCAGGGGTTGGCCTGTGTCTCCCCGAGATTCATACATGGAAGACCTAATTCCCACTATCTTAGAATGTCCCCTTATCTGGAAACAGTGCTATTATACTTAGTTAACATGATATCATACGCAAGTAGAATGAGGTCCTAATCTCATATCAATGTGACTGTGTCCTTATATAAATGGAATCTGAGGCTAGATATGGTAGAGCATGCCTATAATCCCAGCATTCAAGAGGCAGAGGTAGGTAGACAGAGTTTCATGCCAACAGGGCTACATAGTGAGACCTTGTTTCAGAAGAAAAAAAAAATGGAGTGGAGCCAGGTGCCAGTGACTCACATCTATAATTCTAGCTACTCAGGAAGCTGAGACCTGAGGAATGAGGTTCAAAGCCAGCCTAGACAGACAAATCCTCGAGTCTATCTCCAATTCCAATTAAGCACAACAAAAGCTGGCACTGGAGCTGTGGTAGAGTGAAAAAGCTAAACAAGAGTGTGAGGCCCTAAATTCAAGACCCAGTACTAACACCAAAAGCGGGGGTGGGGGAGATATGGAAACAGACACACAGGGAGAATATCATGTGACTGTAAACACGGCATCCATACAGACAGACGCACAGGTAGGGGCACTGTGGTCTGAGGCTGGTCCATGCAGAAAGCACAAGACCTCATCTGAAAAATAAATGAAGCAAAAATGGCTGAGTGTGTGACGTAAGTGGTAAAGCACCTGCCTAGCATGAATGAGGCTCTGAGTTCAAACTCAAGAACTGACCAAAAAAGGGAGGGAGGGTTATTTACAAGCAAAAGACTGGCCAGCAACAAATACTTCCCTCACAGCACTCAGGAAAATGTGAACCCTGCCCCATCTTGGTTCTGAACTCCTGGCCCCTGGACTCTGAGAGGATATCTGTCCTTAATGCACTCGTTGTGGCAAATTTGTTACTAACACCCAGGGCAAGTGGCTAGATGCAAGAAGGACGAGAGAGGGCCTGATGGAGCAGGTGGGCGTGGAGCGAGGCTTACACAGCCAGGCTTACACAGGTGGACGGGGGAGAGGAGATTGGAACAATGAACAGGCTAGAAGAAGAGCTGAGAGAAAAAACTTCTTGGCTCACAAAGCAGAACAGGGCCTTCTGGGCTCCAGTTCCAAGTTGCCTAACCCTGGGCAAAGCTGGCCCACCAGCATTCAAGACCGGCTTGAACTCAGGGCTGGGGCTCTGTCTCTTAGCATCTTTGCTCAAGGCTGACGCTCTACCGCCTGAGCCACAGTTCCCACTTTTAACTTTTTCCTGGCTAACTGGAGATAAAAGTCTCACAGAAGCCGGGCGCTGGTGGCTCACGCCTGTAATCCTAGCTACTCAGGAGGCTGAGATCTGAGGATCGCGGTTCAAAGCCAGCCCGGGCAGGAGACCGTGAGACTCCTATCTCCAATAAACCACCAGAAAACCGGAAGTGGCGCTGTAGCTCAAGTGGTAGAGCGCTCGCCTTGAGCTGAAGAGCTGAGGGACAGCGCCCAGGCCCAGAGTTCAAGCCCCACGACCGACAAAAAAAAAAAAAAAAAAGTCTCACAGACTTTCCTTTCCAGGCTGGCTTCACACTGTGATTCTCAGATCTCGCACTCCTGAGTGGCTAGGAGTTACAAATGTGAACTACTAGCATCCAGCTCCACCTGTGTTTTAAAATGTACTCTCTCCAGCCTAGAAATAATTCAAGTGCAGGCTTTTTATATTGATAAATTCATCCTATTATTAGGCAGCGTCTTCTTTATATTTAGATGAATAACCACGTAATGATCACCTGTGCTGATTTAGATGGTGTCATTTTAAGAAATTATGGGTTCCATCCATCTTCTCTTTCCCCTTTCCCTCTGCCCTCCCTGAATTATTCCTGAGGAAGAAACCAATTAATAGTAGCTTGACTGCTATAATGCGGCCTGCTGTACAATGTAGCAATACCTAATGGAGTTTTAATTTCCCCATGGTGAGTCAATATTTGCTTTAAGAAAGAAAAATGTCACCATAAACCACAGCCCCAAATGAATTTGGTAGCACAAAGGGCGCGATGGTTTTTCCTTTTTCAGCAAACAGTCATGGAGAGTGGATATGGGGTTGCAGGGAGGAGGAGGTGCAGAGAGGAGGGGACAGGGTGGGAGGGAAATTCACTCTTGGCAAACTAGGTTACATAAGGCTTTACTGTTGCTGTTACTGCTCAGGCTGATGATGGTTATTAAAATATTTTGCTTTGCAAATGCAGTCGACTGTCAAGAAACTCAACCACAGTTTAAAGGGCCTGAAAGAAAGTCATTATAATCCAGAAGAGCAACAATTTATTCCAGCCTTTTTAATAACTTGGGGAGACTCAGGAGGGAAGACCGGAATTCCAGGCATTCCTATCTGAAGACATTCTGGTTGATTCTCATCCCGGCTCCCCTCAGGAGGCACTGAAATCAAATCCTACCTTTTTTGTTTTGTTTTATTTTAACAAAACATATGAAGCCTTTAAATGGCCCTGCAAGGAAATGAAAGTCCTGGAATCTGTCCTTTCTCCTTCTATCCTCCCCTCTTCTCTCCTCTCTTTCCTCTCCAGCTCTCCTCTAATAAGCCTGTCCCCCAAAAAACAATGTTGCTCATTCCATTGCAAGACAGTTTCATTTCAAAACTCAAAACTGCAAGGAAAAATTGGCCTTGCCAAAAGAACATTGTATACCGAACTTGTCAAACCCTTTCTCCTGACACAAATAAAAGGTAACACTGGTGGCAGCATGTAAAACAGCTCTGACAGTTAGCAAAGGAAGACAAAGAAATATACATACAGTGATTCCACAATTCCATTTTAGAAGCTGGGGGGGAGGGCGGGGAGGGATCCCCAGCCGCAGTGACTTGGCCAGCTTGCAACAGCTTCAGGTACCAATTGAACAAATACTTTCATGTAGACTTTCAAAGATATAATGACCTCAGTTTCCAATTAGCCAAAATATGACAAGAATCTCAACTTTTTTAGCAGCACAAGCTGCCAGAGAGAAGCCCGCCCGAGTGACAAGACTCTTCATTCAAAACTTTAAGGGCGCGTTGCGCGGCTATAATTACTAGGTCTAACACGGTGGGAAATTTTTCCATGTGCATTTCAAAATAAATAACGTAAATGATCACTCTTTCGTTAGGTCTGTACTCCTATCGCGTAAGTGACTTTTTTTTTTCCTATTAAAATTGTTGATTGGAGGCCGTTAGCTGTTTATCAGCTCAAAATTACATTTTTGCTCTCTTAGGGGCTTAAAAAAAAATCACACTTGGTGCCTAGTTAGTAACAAGAAAAGACTCCTAAAACTGCAATTTCGGGGGGGTTGGTGGAAACATAAGCAAGAACCCCAGATTGCACTTCCGTATCCCCAAAGGCATCATGCTTCTTTGTTCTGCTAAGAAAAATTAACCTCAATCTCAGCTCTGGGTCCCTAGATTGATTACCATAGTCATTTAAATACTGTAATCTCATTTTCAGTCTTGGATGGGGGGGAGGGGGCAGAGAAAGGGGATTGGGGAGCAGGGCTGCAGAGAGAAAAAGAGCGAGGGGGGTGGTGGTTGGGAAACAGAATAAATTATCTGACAAAGGGAATCAGGCCTTTCTGCTCAGAGAGCCTATTTCAGATCCTTCCACTTGATTGGAAAAGTTGATGAAGTTTAAATGAAGCAGAATTAGAACCTCATGCCGCTGAGTATTGACTGGAGGTGGGGGGTGTCTGTCACAATGTGTAATTCAATCGCCCTGGGTTTGGGCTGAAAACAAGAGAAAAGCCTAAATGGTATAATCTTCAATCGCCTACAACATCCACACTGACAGGCAGGGTAATGAGTTAGGCCAGATCAGGCCTGTTGGTTAAAGAAATTAATCCCTCCGCCGCCCTGAGCCAGGCTTTGAAGCTCATTGTGTGGGCCCCTGTCCCAGTCTATCTAAATGCTAACTATGAGGGTGAGAAGCGGACTGTGCTTTTCATTGCTGGCGCTAATCTGATAACAATTTGCTCTCTCTGATTAGGGAGGTGGGGAGGAGAAGGAGCCCCTGTGTGAGAAGAGGAGACACCTCCTCTTTGAAACCATTCTGGTTAGCCTGGATGGAAGAATCACCCTAAGACATCCCATTCCCCAGCCAACAGAGGCATGCATTGCAAATAACCTAAATATTTATGTTCCTTTTCTCTGGATGTCTTGCCTTTTCTTAAATCTTAATTGTCAGCCTTGTGCTCTGATGACTCACACCTGCAATCCTAACTACTCAGGAGGCTGAGATCTGAGGATCAAGATTCCAACCCAGCTAGGGCAAGAATGTCTGTGAGACTCTCATCTCCAATTAACTACCACAAAGCTGGAAGCAGAGTTGTGGATCTAGTGGTAGAGCACCAACCTTGAGTTAAGAAAATTTTAAAAAAATCGAAGAGACGGTTCCATGATGGGTCAGCACAGTGCCAGGCCCAGGAGTGGCTGCCCACACAGTAGGCAGCTGCTATCTGTGGGTTTAGAGATCCATAGCCTGGAGCTTCCTAGAAATCAGGAGTCTGAGCTCAGCTTCCACCTCCCAGTCCTGCTGTGGGGAGGTTGGGCCTGTGAGCTTCCTGCCCTCAGTTCTGCCTGAGAAAGGGCAGCACTCTTACCAAGCAGACACTTTCCCTTTGGAAGGGGAGGGGTTTGGGGTTGGTATTTATTTTTTTTGAAAGACTTATTTAAACCTCCGATTTTATGCCCACTGGGTGCCTACAGAGAAAGCAAGATCTTCAGTGACAGTTTACAGAGGTTTTAGAAGCAGCCGCCAAGCCCAGCAGCCGTCAGCCCGAAGGGACCCCTCAGAACCACACCTGCAGGTT